CCACGGTTATAATGAAATTCCATTGCGCGTTTAATAGCTGAAGTATTCCATATGTATGCATCATTCCGTGCTCCTGGATATCTTGCATTTATATTTAAAACTTTTAAATCTGGATCTACTATCTATAAAAAATATTCATAATCACACGTATGAACACACGGGGAGAAAGAAAGAGAGAGAGAGAGAGAAAGAGAGAGAGAGAGAGAGAGAAAAAGAGAGAGAGAGTTAAAAGTAAATATAAAATATAAAACAAAAGTAATATAAATCTTATGAATTATACTTACTGCTTGGACATTCAAGGAATGGTTACCATGATGGTTCATATACGCTTCATCGTGAATGTGTGCTATAATGTTTACGTGTGTGCAATCTATTGCTCCAATACAACCAGGAAACGGTTGTGGAGCATGTAAAAATTTATTTCTTGCTGCAGTTCTTTCTTGCACTGTCATTGGAAATAGGATCCATCGTCGCAATAGATATACATTCATGAAATGGGTTACTCTGCGTATACAACGACTAGTAGAAGGTTGACTTATAACAAGTTCACACTGATTGCCAACTGGCCTTTGATAACTGCCATTAGCATAAAAATTGATTGCTGTCAACACTTGAATCTCCGCACTCAAACCATTTATGCGTATTGTCATCAAATCATTCCTTAATACATCCACAATATGCATCACTATTTCTTGAGAAACTCTGAATTTTGAAAGAAATTCATTGTGTGGTAACTCGAATGGATTCTGAGCATCTCGCAAAATTCTTCTCTCAATTCGTCGTTCAACCCTCCTTACTCTTTCTTGGAGAATAAATAAATCCCACACCAAATATGCTTCAGCCATCTAACTAGATAATAAAAACAAGAAAAAATAAAAACTAAAATACATAAAGAAATAATTAATAGTACGATTCAATTAATTTTATGTAAAAATTAAAATCTGAACTCAACATAAAAAAATCATGACAGACGACGTTTTGGCAAAATTAATTTACAAGACAATAACATTAATGTAATTGTCTTGTAAATATACTTTTCACAATTATAAAGTATACTTTATAATTGTGAAAAGTATGTTTTTCGATTTTACGGTATAACGTACATTATTTTTACGTTATTTCTCAGACTGCCTTTCGATATTCACTGCCAAAACAGAAAATTTATAGTGTACGTGACGTAAAGTATAGATTTTCAGTACTGGTTGTAAATATCGAAACGCAGTGTTAGTATAAAATAATTAACAAATAAATAATTACTTACCCGACTGCAGCAATAAGCCTTGCTTTTTACGGCAATGACGACGACAGGAAAGGCATACAATTTCTGCCTGTAATCTGGTTTCTGATACCAGATTAGAAATGGAGATGTTTAAGAGAAATCACAGAGGATGGTAGAGGACCAGTTTGTAAAATGCTGCAACAAGAGAAATATTCCATATTATGTTTAAAAAGCTACTTTGTTATAAAGTTTTCTAAAAAATAATCAGTTAAGAGTAGCTAAAAATCAATTACAAGCATTCTGAAAATGTTTTTAACATTTTGAATATAACCTTAAAATATATTTTTGTAGCAATGGTATTAGAAGATAAAAAGTATAAAAATATATAAAATGTTTGTCTTAATGTTTTCGTTGGCTTTATTATTACATTTATGTACAATATTGAATTTATTATTAAAGAATAGAAAAGGATTACCTTCTCGTTTTCCTCGCCGTCCCGTGCCTCAATCCGGAAATACTATGATAGTGGTTGCGGTCGACGGTCGACTTGACGCTGCAATTGTGTCGCTATCAGCTATCGAGGGGTCTTGTACCCCTCGATACACTAACGATAAAATTCGATAATTTATCGACACTTATATCGACATTTATCGTTTCAATGAGTTGCAGAATAGAATTTTCGTTAACTGTGTCGATATATCGACATAGCGACGCTTAACG